CCTCGTCTCTTTGTCGGCAAAGACTTCGTCGAGGTTGACGTCCTCAAGCATCTGCGTCACGGCTTTCTCGTCACTGTGGCGGGCATGCAACACGTCAATGCAACACGTCAACAAAGCGCAACACAAGGGAATGCAGCCTTGCGTCTTAGGCAGGCTTGTTAAAGATATATATATTCTAAATCAAAAGAAAAGCAGAACTAAAAAAAGGTCAGCTTTACATGCTCTTACTAGAAGTAATTTATAAGGTTTTTACTAAATTATGATAATGAGAAAAAGATATTCACAAGAGCCTTTAAAGGAAGTTTAAAATTAGCTAAAAGAAAAAACTACATTTAATGTATATATAGCAAAACAAACAAAGACACATTTACAAATGAACAAATAACTATTCCAATTAGCAAGTCCACATCCGCCTCTGACAAAACACACAAGATTATCAATTACCGTTCTGAAGGCAATGAACATTAACGCAATCATCATCATTATCCTCTCAAAATCCCTATAATTAGCCTCGCGGATGTCGGACTGCTAATAAAGTAAAAAAGCCATTGCAATTACACATGCAAAAGGGATCTTGCATGAGTCATCGAAACTTACATAGTAGGAGCAGGAGTGTTGAAGGTCTGGCTGTCGGGCTCGGAATCTGTGGTGTGCCGCCTCGGGCCGTTGGCTGGAAGAGGGAGGTAGAGACAGGTAAACACTACATGCATACGTAATTATCCACGTTGCTTCGTGTGTAAGTTCAGAGATTTCTTTGTGATCAGTTTATTCCGTGTATTTCATTCAGTGATGGTGTTATGTATGTATTATACTCCTTATCTTATTACTGTTATCTAACTTTCTCACTCCTTATTCTAATCGTCATAATACTATCTTTATCGTTATCGTCCATTACATTCTTTATCACATTACTACCTTTTACCTGTATCCTTATCGTCATATTACTATCGTTTCTGTCATCACCCATCATTTTCTGTCATCACCCATCATCACAATCATCACTTTACTATCATTTTCCATCATTATCCACGATCCTCCTCATAACCTTACCATCTTTACTATATCTTTACTAAGATCCTTATCAGCATATTCCCCTTCTTCCATCATCTTCCGCATCCTACTCATCCCTAAGATTAATCAACAGGATTTGCGAGCTTCGATTCTTTACCATTATCTTCAATTAACCAAATCACCATTTACCATTACATTACCATATATTATAGCTTTCACCAATCATCTTCCCCATTACATTGCTATCTTTTACTGCCATTATCCTTTATCTTCCTCCACTCATCCCTACGATCAGTAACTGTAAATCTTGGTCTTATTCTTCCCTACAATGTCACTATATATATATATAATGATATAGTATTATAATCCCTATAACCAATATCTATTATTTCCCAGCGTCTCCCGATCTGCCAGACTTATGTGGGAAACCTGACGATTTTCTCTCTTACTCTTCCCTACAATCAATCACAATCTATTTGATAATATCATACTATAATCCCTAAAACCAATCTCCATAATCTCGAAGCGTCTCCCGATCTGCTGGACTTACCTCTCACTCATCCCTACGATCATTTTCTATCTATTTTATAGCAGTGTAAACTATCTATATGATAGTATAATACTATAATCCTTTTAACCAATCCCTGTAATATCCCAGAGTCTCAAAATCTGCCCGACTTACGTGGAGGATTTCTGACGATTTTCGGGTTGTCGATCTCGCTTTACTCTTCCGTACAGTCCCTATCTATACGGTCAGTCATTCTCTATATATAATAATAATCCCTATAACCCATCTCTATCCTTTCCGAGCGTGTCCCGATCTGCTAGACTTACGTGGAAGACTTCTGACGATTTTCGGGTTGTAGGACTCTCTCTCACAGCAGTGTAAACTATCTATATAATACTATAATACTAGAATCCCTATAAGTAATCTCTATCCTTTCCGAGCGTCTCCCGATCTGCCAGACTTAGACTTACGTGGAAGACTTCTGACGATTTTCGGGTTGTAGATCTCGCCCTTACTCTTTACAGTCTATCTATACAGTCAGTTTCTCTATAAAATAATAATCCCTATAGCCCATCTCTATCCTTTCCGAGCGTGTCCCGATCTGTCAGACTTACCCTTGTACTTCTGAAGAAGTGAGCGTCTCCCGATCAGACTTACGCTTCTGACGATTTTCGGGTTGTAGATCTCGCCCTTACTCTTCCCTACAGTCCCTATCTATACGGTCAGTCATTCTCTATAAAATAATATCCTATAACCTCTCTATCCTTTCCGAGCGTGTCCGATCTGCTTTACGTGGAAGACTTCTGACGATTTTCGGGTTGTAGATCTTGGGGTCGGACACCATGCGGACGAAGAAGGACCGCTTGTACCGCAGGCTCTTCTTGTTCTTGCGGTCGAGCATCTGGAACACTTCTTCGGTGCCTTCTTCGGCCTCCTTCTGCGCCTCCTCTTCCTTGTTCTCTTTCGTCTCCTCGACCTGCTGTGGAGAAGAGGAGAGGAAAAGAAAAGGGGGATGAATTTGAGCATTCTAGTTAAGGTAAGGTAGAATGATAAAAGATAAAAAAAGTGAAATGAAAGTTGTGAAATAGAGTAAAGGATAAGGTGAACAAAGTTGGAAGATTATAAAGTAGTTCACTTGCTTCACATATCATTACTGGTGTGCTTTAAAAAAAAATAAAATGGGTTTCTAATGTACAATTGATGGGTTTCCTTACCTTCTCTTTGTTCTCCAATTCCTCGGCCATGATGACCTTCATGTCAGCAGCAAACTGTGTAATGACTTCCCACGCATAGTCTGTAGAAGGGGAGAAAAATAATCTAAATTCGTGTCTACAATAACACAATTTTCTTTCAGTCAATTGAACTCAAATGTCTCAAAAAACAACGACAAAAATGTAATTGAATCATACGAAATCAGTATCTAGAATAGCACGTTTCACCAAACCATATAAAACCAGAACCAGAAATAACACAATTCTCTTCAAAGTATGAAACTAGTGCCGAAAATGGCAATTTCCACGAACTTTTACGAAATCAATGCCCAAAACATCCCAATTTTCATGAACTTATACAAAATCCAAGCCCTAAAATACCACAATAACCTTAAAAAATCAAGCCCTAAAATACCACGATTCCCACCAAACCACACACCCCCATATACCAACCCAGACCACAAGAACCTCTCGTTTTGAGACCTAAAGACCCCCCCCCCCCTTGTACTTACCGATATCGGCGTCGGTGGCGTTCTGGGCGCAGACACAGAACCGGATAACGTATCTGTCGTTGAGGGAAGCGGGGACCATGTGCAGCTTCCCGGAGGCGTTGATGGAAGACAGCAGCTTCTGGTTGATCAGGTTCGTTCCCTTCAGTCTAATGGGGCAGACGAGGTCGTTTAGGAGTGATTGGTTTTTAATGATGTTTGGTGATTGTTGTATGTATTTATGATGGTTATCATGGGTATTCTTTCTTTATCTTTTATGATAATGACAGCGATTACTGTCGGTATTATTGCGATTATGAGTCCTTTTCTTCTTTTCTATTTTTTATCTACTTAATGGCCTATCGTTTTTTTTATGGCCCATCTAGTTTTATTTCTTTTTCTTTTTTCCTCTTAATGGCCTACCGCCGCTCCTTAGCCAAGCCGACTGAGCACCCACCTGAAGCAGACCAAGCCGAGGCCGACGGGGCTGGCGACCTCGAAGCTGGGCTCCTTCCTGACGTGGGCCTCGAACCTCTTGGCGAGACGGCAGTGCTCGCGGATGTACTTCTGCAGGCCCTCCACGCCGAAGGAGCGGATCACGAACCACAGCTTGAGGGCGCGGAACCGGCGGCTCAGCGGGATGCCCCAGTGCTGCGGGAGAGGGGGGCGGGGGGGCGGGGTGAGTTTGTGACGGAGGAATTGGGAATCGGGATTATTTCATTTTTCTGTTTTTTTCTTTTTCTTTTTTTCGCGTTTCTTCTGTCTTCTTTCGTCTTCTCTCTCTCTCTCTCTCTCTCTCTCTCTCTCTCTCTCTCTCTCTCTCTCTCTCTCTCTCTCTCTCTCTCTCTCTCTCTCTCTCTCTCTCCTCTAAACGTGTGTGTGTGTGTGTGTGTGTGTGTGTGTGTGTGTGTGTGTGTGTGTGTGTGTGTGTGTGTGTGTGTGTGTGTGTGTGTGTGTGTGTGTGCATTCGTCTGTATGCTGTAAACCCAACCCAACTATTAAACGATAACACCACTTCTTCCGCCCTCCCTCCTCCCCCCCACGAGAGAGAGGAGAGAGAGAGAGAGAGAGAGAGAGAGAGAGAGAGAGAGAGAGAAGAGAGAGAGAGAGAGAGAGAGAGAGAGAGAGAGAGAGAGAGAGAGAGAGAGAGAGAGAGAGAGAGAGAGAGAGAGAGAGAGAGAGAGAGAGAGAGAGAGAGAGAGAGAGAGAGAGAGAGAGAGAGAGAGAGAGAGAGAGAGAGAGAGAGAGAAAGAAAGAAAGAAAGAAAGAAGAAAGAAAGAAAGAAAAGAAAAACCGTTCTCCCCCAAACAAGCAATCCACGCCTAACGACCGCCATTACGGACGGAAAACAGACACCCCCCAACAGGCAGGCCTCTCGCGGTGGAAACTTACCCTGTAGTCAATGGACTTCTCAGAATACGAGTGTTGCAGGTAGAGAGGGTCCACCACCAGGGCCTGCGTCAGTCGGAAGCGGTCCTTCACCCTGAAGAGAAGAAAGGCATTCACACACACGGTTAGGTTTATGTTTGTTTGTTTTTTTAACACACACGGAAAGGTTTATGCTTGTTTGTTTTTCTGTCTCTGTTTCTTTCTATTAATTCATCTGTTTGTCTATTTGTTGATTGATTGTTATTTTGTGTCTTCGTTTTTCGATTGTCTTTTTTTGTTTGTTCTTTTTTTGATTTTTCATCCGTTCAATCATTTATCTGTGTTTATCCGTGTATTCATTAATTTATCTGTGTGTCCTTTTCACTTACCTGTTTGTCTGTCTGAATATATATAGTCAGATATATATCTATTCATATTTATCCATATCTATCTGTTTATCTATTAATTTGCCTATCCATCTATCTATTTCCATACATATTCATATACCATTTTATCTTTTATATCATTTTAATTATTATCTTTTATATCATCCATTCGGAGGGAAACACACACTCATTCGATCTGCAGTGTACAAGTAACTTTATAAGTGGAACCGACTTTTTAAAGACTATTATTAATACCGCTTGTGTTGCTAATTACGGAAAACACCATTCACTAACAGCAGGAAACTTACCACATGAGAGAACAGTCGAAGTTCGTCAGCATGAACTTGTTCGGGTTAAAGTTGAACGAGGAAGCATACTGGAAAGGGAAAAAAAAATCGTTTACAACGAGGTTCTCTTGTGTGTGTGTGTGTGTGTGTGTGTGTGTGTGTGTGTGTGTGTGTGTGTGTGTGTGTGTGTGTGTGTGTGTGTGTGTGTGTGTGTGTGTGTGTGTGTTATACATATACTTGTACAGTCTGTACTATAAGAGGTTCTCTTGTGTGTGTGTGTGTGTGTGTGTTATACATATACTTGTACAGTCTGTACTATAAGGGTTCTCTTGTGTGTATACATATACTAATGAGGTCTGCTAAATATATAATGTTTTTCATCACATCACAAATGGATTATAACTTCACCCCTTATGATATCTAGAACAGAAGAAAATTCCTAATGACTTCCCATTCATCTAAGAAGTTCGCTCATAAAGTTTGATTTAGAGGAATTCCTCAGCCGCCGCGAGAGAGAGGGTCGACTGGAGAAACATCCCACAAGTCATTCAAAACGGAGATATCGCGGGAAAAAAAAACGGGAAAAAGTGATCCTTAATTAAATAATCTATCACAGAGAATACTCTACCCCCCCCCCCCCTTGGGAGACGAAGGTAAATGCAGGAGAGACTCACCTCAATGCCCTTCATGGGGCCTCGCAACTCGGGGCAGATGAACGAGTTGCCTGCATAGGCGCCGTCGACGTGCAGCCAAGCCCCGTATTCCTCGCACACGGGACCTACACGGACGAAGAAAGGAAGTTAGCTATCGACTACATCATCTGTAATTAATAACATCACCCTAGGAATAGCTCAGGTTATATTCGGTGCATATTTCAAGAGGCTGTCGTCAGGAAAGTCGTCGCAGAGAAAGAGGCATTGATCGGCCCCGTCAGCGGCGCCCTGGAAGACGTCGAGAGCGCACAAAGGGGCACAGGCAAGAGGCGCCCCTGCTTACCGATCTCGGCGAGGTTGTCGAAGGAGCAGCAGGAGGTGGTGCCGAGGGTGGCCTCCACGTAGAAGGGGATGAGGCCCATGGCGCGGTCCTCCTCCATCACCTGAGGGAGAGGGCGTTCTTACAGACCGGGTTGTGAGAAGGAATCACACGCGGAAATTCATATCGTAACAAGGGAAGCTCTTTGGGAAATTGGATTGTGAATTATGAAGGTTTTTTTCTTTCTTTCTCTTTGCTATGTGTGTAGCATGTATTGGATGGCTGGACAGATGGATAAATGGGCGAATGAATGGATAGAAGGCTGGAGGAATGAATGGATGCATAGACGGATGTACGAGTGTATGCACGGGTGAATGGGTAGCCAGATGTATGCACGGAAGGACGAGGCGTATCCCTGCGGACGGCGCTCACCTGCTGGAGCGTGGATCCCCTGAGGCTCTGGTTCTCGTCAGGCTCCAGGATCCTCATCTTGACGAAGGCCATCATGGCCGCCTTCTCGACGCACGAGTGGGCCTCCTTGCTGCAGTAGGCCATCATCTTGGACAGCAGCACGCCCTCCTCCACGAACGGGTGCTGCTTCTTCAGCTGGCGGATCTTGTGGGCGCGGGCGGCCAGGAGGGACACCAGGACGCACTCCGACGCCGAGCCCTGGGGAAGGTGGAAGGGGGGGGGGGTCAGGTGAGGCTCCGAAAGTTATCGTTTTTAGGGGGTCAAGTGTGCATTTTGTATTTTAATCAGTTATGCTCCTTTTGTGTGTCTTAATCACTTATGTATCTTATTACCTATCTTAATGAGATTTGCACCTTCTCATCTACCATAAGTATGTACCTTCTTATCTTTTTTAATCCGTGATTCACCTTCGTATTTATCCAACTATATATTTCCTTCTTTATTCATCTATTCTATCTATCGACGGTTATTTTTTTCATCCATTTTTGAGTGTGACTTTTCTTCAATAAACAAAGTTCATTCGCGTAACCTTTCAGAACTTACTCACTTCCTATTCATGAGACGGCCTGGGAGAGCCAATCAGATCTCAATCATTAATGCAGAACTTTAGCCAAAACATAAACTTTTATTGCCGTGATTGCCGGCTTTGTAGTAGTAGAAATAAAGCCAAAGTGTGTGTGTGTGTGTGTGTGTGTGTGTGTGTGTGTGTGTGTGTGTGTGTGTGTGTGTGTGTGTGTGTGTGTGTGTGTGTGTGTGTGTGTGTGTATCTGATGAAGCTGCCATTTTTGTGTACTGTAGAAATATCAGCAGTATTAGTAGAAATAAACCCCCATATATGTAATTGTTCTGACGAGGCTGCTATCTCTACTATAGCAGAAATAACAATAGCATTGATAAAAATAACCCCCATATATGTAACGAATAACCCAAGTTGTGAAAAATGACTAAAAATGACTTTAAAATGACCTCATATCCCACGATAAGCAATTAATACAGACAGATGCGTATCGTTAAGACATTTTCCCATTTGAGACGAAGTGAGTCTATTTTGAGAAGACAATATGACCGAGATGAATAAGATCAGACAAAGTTTGCGAGCGAAAGGTCAGAAGTACTAAAATAGGCAGATCCGGTAAATGATTAATTCTCTCCATCTCCTTAGCTAATTGGCCACCCACGCGCATACATCCCCCATTCCCGTTCCCATTTCTATGCGTATTTGCGTTCCCATTCCGATTTCCACCTCCCCTCCCCCCCCCCGAAAAATATTTACAATGTGTCTTCCAGCCCCATTTACATTCCTATTTCCATATCCAGCCCCATTTTCACCACCTATTTCCTATTCCCACTCCCTTTTCCCAATCTGATTCCCATTCCCACTTTCATTCCTACTCTTCTTCCATTCTCAATCCCATTCTGATTCCTACCCCAATCCTATTCTGATTCCCAACCCAGTCCCATTCATATTCCCACCTCCATTCACATTCTCATTCCCCCGCCCCATCCCCCCACGTCCCCTCCCAACCCCGAACTGTCCTCCCACAAGGTTTTTTTTTTTCTTTTTTCTTTTTCTTTCCCTCCGCCCTAGAGTAACTTTAGCTCCAAAGACCAAAAGGCTAGTCTCTCGGTGGTCGGTTCCTCCTCGCACAACAGGTAGGGCAGGCTTCCCTACCGCCTCGCTTAACAAATCCTCGACAGACTTAAAGAAAAAAAAAAAAAGATGAAAGGGAGAGAGAGAGAGAAAAAAAATATGTGTGAATGGTTCTCTTCTCCCCCAAAAAAGAAGTTTTAGCGGTGGACCCAAGCTATTGTGGTGGGTAATAGCCACATCGATTTCTTGCGCCGCCCGAGCGAGAGATTCTCCTCCTCCTCCCCTTCCCTCTCATTCCTTTGGTCTCTTCTCCCTTTCCTTCTCCTCCACCCTCCCTCCCTCCCTCCTTCTCCTCCCCTCGTCCCCTCTCTCTCCCTCTCCTTTCCCTGCCTTTCCTTGTCCTCTCTCGCTCCCTATCTCCACCTTTTTTTCCCTCTCGCTCACTTTTCTCGTCTTCCTCCACCCTCTCTTCCTCCCTCCCCTCCTTCCTCTCCCTCCCCCCCCTTTTTTTCTAACCTCTCACCCTCTCTTCCCACCTCCTTCCCTCCCTTCTCCCCTTCCTCCTCCATTCCCTTCCTTCACCCTCCCCCTTCCTCCCCTCCTCGCTCGCCCACAAACTTTACCATTCATCACAAGTTTCAGCGCAGCGACGAAGGAGGCAGGGGGTGCATAGGGTGAGAGGGGGGGGGGGTGGATGTGGAGTTATGTATGTGGAGGGGGGGACGAGTGGAGGCGGGAAGAGGTGGATTTTTTTGGTGCGAGGGGACGGGAGGGTGTGTGCGTGTGGATAGGTGTGTGAGAATGTGTTGGGTGTGTTAGGAATGCCTGATAGCCTGGAGGGGGGGGGGGGGGAAGGGGAAGATAATTCATGTGGAAGTATATATGTGGAGTATGTGGCTTCATGTAGTCGGAACTTATATGCGGGGGAGGAAAATGTGGCTAAAAATAAGTCCCTCTTCTACGTGATTATTTTTTTTTTTTATATCAGACAAGACGATATGATAATTTCGGAGGATGAGAACGTCTAAGGAAGATCTCGAATTCTCCAACGAAACACTAATAAGCAATCTAATCACATGGGAAGACGATCGGTGACAGCTTAAGAAGGGGGAGGAAAGGAAAGGTTTCTACGCTTATGATGTTCATCCCGTCTCATAAGGGATTCAAGTATGTATTCGAGTAGTCTTTTAAGTCGATTTACGGTAAGCTGTCTCACCTGTATGACTCCTCCGCCTTTGCTGTTCTCGGTGAAGGAGAGGAAGTCTTCAGGTAGTCCCACCATCTTTCCTGTAAAATAAGAATAAGAAAAAAACCTTAAAAGCCACGTTTTGTGCATGTAAAAAAAAAGAGAAGAAGATTGGGGCTTTAATAATAGTAAGCACGAGAAATATATTATATTGTAGGATTTGAAAGTTCGCAGAAGGAACAAATATTGGATTAACTCGAGACACTAGAGCGTCAAGGCACTCGACCTGTGAGGGGAAATGGAGACAGGACACGAGGATTTTAATAAAAAGGAGAGAGAGAGAGAGAGAGAGAGAGAGAGAGAGAGAGAGAGAGAGAGAGAGAGAGAGAGAGAGAGAGAGAGAGAGAGAGAGAGAGAGAGAGAGAAGAGAGAAGATAGATAGGGATAGGGATAGTGAGAGAGACAGTGTGTGTGTGAGAGAGAGAGAGAGAAAGAGAGAGATAGGGATAGTGAGAGAGACTGTGTGAGAGAGAGAGAGATAGGGATAGTGAGAGAGACAGTGTGTGTGAGAGAGAGAGAGAGAGACAGACAGACAGACAACGGCAAAGACACAGACAGACAGAGCCAAAGTGACAAAGAAAACGCGAAAGAGGGCGCGAAACCCCCTCCCCCCCCCCCCTTACCAATCCAGTCAAGCACAATCGTCTCCAGCTCCGTGCAGGCCGGCGACGCTGCCCACGAGAACCCGATGCATCCTATGCCGTCGCTAAGCATGTCCCCCAGGATGCTCGGGTAGGAGTTGCCGGAGGGGAAGTAGGCGTGGAACCGCGGGTGCTGCCAGTGGGTCACCTGCGGGAGGAAGGGGGCGGGGCGGTTAGACTTCGGGGATCTGGATTTGGGGGGGAGAGGCCGTGGGTAGGATGAGGGTGACGGTGGGAAGGGGCGAGGTGCTGGGCGGGGCCTGGTAGGACGATGCGGGATTGTCAAAATGTTTGGTTGTGTATTGTATCTATGTAAATTAGATGACCTCACGCGGGGAATAGATGCGTAAAAGGTTAATGAATATAATAAACAGAGAATATAAACGGTAAAATACGAGGATAGCTATTGTAGAACAAACAGCGAACAGCTCCAAGTAAAAGGACAGTGAGAAGGAGAGTTTTACCCCGGGCATGATCTTGTCCTCGACGTCTTTCATGATGTCGTCCCAGCCCTCGCCCTTCTGAGGAGCCTCGAGGGGCACCAGGTCCTTCAGGTAGCCGGGCTCGATCGCGGGCGTCACTCGCCGGTTCTCGATGGTGTCCATGTAGTTGGCGATGTAGTCCACCATCTCCTTCCCTCGCTTACGGAACTCCTCGGAATTCATGGCTGGGTCCTGGGGCTGAGGGCGCGAGGGAGCGGGTGCTGGGCGGGAAGGGCGGTCGGTGGCTGCTGCTGCTGAAGGAGGCGCGGGCGTCCTTGGCTGTCGTCTCCTGCGGGGGGAGGGGGGAGCGTGGTTAGGAGGGGAGGGGGAGGCGGTGGGATTCAGAGCGGTGATGAAGTGCAGTAAAATGAAGAGGAAAATCAACGAGGAAATAACACTTGTCATACACACTGGCCACATGTAGATTCACGAAAACATATACATATACATAGATGCATAGACACACACGCATATATACATGAATATATACATATATATATATATATATATATATATATATATATATATATATATATATGTATATATATGTATACATACATACATATGTATGTATATACACATACATATACATATATACACCCAAACACGGCCGCCCATGTTCCAAGGCACGAGCCGAGTAATGATCCGCGTCCGTCATATTCACCCTCGCTAAACGCCGACGAATTCGACCGCCCACAAAATGATCCCCGGAGCCACAAGGCGCACGCCCATCCCGCCCATTAGGCAGCGATAAAGCCATAACGAGAGTTAAGGCGAAGCATAATAGTCACCAATTACACGCGGGCGGCGGCCAAAGGCAGTGGGCGCCTCCGTGATGGAACCGCGCGGGTGGGCGTAGGAGCGGGGGGGGGGGGGTGGTGACGGGCGGCAGGGGAGGGGGCTTTGGGTCTAGGGAGGTTGGGGGGGGGGGGAGCGGGATTCTGAATAGGGGGAGGGGGAGGGGGTGGTCCAAAGAGGGGGGGTTTTAATGGGGGTGCTTATTGGGGGGGGGTTAATGGGGGTTCTTAATGAGAGTTTCTTAAGGGAGGCTCTTAATGAAGGGGTTACTTATTAATGAAGGTTCAGTTGTTGTTTATTAAGGGGGGAAGGAAACAGCCTTTCGAAGTGTGCTAAAGAATCGTGTCTGGATGTAGGTCTGGGAATTGTTAAAAGGAAAAGACAGACAAAAAAAAAAGGAAAAGAGAGAAAAAAGAAAAAGACAGACAAAAAAAAAAGAAAGAAAAAAAACAAAAAAACAGCTCGACATTACTAAGATCCTTTCTTTCTACCCGATCTGACCTCAGCAGCCCTCTTCCTTATTTCCCTTCCCCTCCAGCTCCCCTTCTCCCTTATTTTCCCTTCTTCTCTCCCCCATCTCCATAACCCTCTCCCTTTCCCCTTTTCTCCTCCTCTCCCTTCTCTTCCTTTCTCCTCTCCTTCTCTATCCCCGCTTCCCTTTTCCCTTCTCCTCCCTCTCCTCTCCTCCTCTCCCCTCTCTTCTCTATCTCCGCCTCCCTTTCCCTTCTCCCTTCCTCTCCTTTCCCCCCTCTTCCCTCTCCTCTTCTCTTTCTCCCCCTCTTCTCTCTCCTTCCTCCTCTCCCTCTCCTTCTCCTCCTCCTCCATCTCTCCTCTCCTCTCCTCCTCTTCCCCTCCTCCTCTCCTCTCCTCCTCCTCGGCTCCTCGAAAAGAGTGATCCGCACGCAGGTCGACGTCGTCCTCCCACGCCAGAGGACTCACCCTCCAGGAGACAATTCGAGGGGGGAGATAAGGGAAAAAAGAGAAGAGGGGGAGGCAGAGAAAGAGGGGGAAAGTAGGGGAAGAGAATAAGGGGAAAAAGAGAAGAGGGGAAAAGGAAGAGGGAAAGGGAAGAATAAGGGGAAAAAAGAAGGGGGAGAAGAGAGAAGAGGGGAAAAGAGAGAATAAGGGAAATGGGGGAAGGGGGAGAGAAGAGAAGAGGGAGAGAAAGAATAAGGGAAATGGAGAAGAGGGGAGAAAGAAGAGAAGAGGGGAAAAGAGAGATAAGGGAAATGGAGAAGAGGAGGAGAGAAAGAAAGAGAAGATGGGAAAAGAAAGAATTAAGGGAAATGGAGAAGAGGGGGAGAAGAGAAAGAGGGAAAAGAGAGAATAAGGGAATGGGAGAAGAGAGGAGAAAGAAGAGAAGAGGGAAAAAAAAGAGAGAAAGGAGAGAAAGAGAAAGAGAAGTGATAAAGAGGAAGGAGAGAAAGATCAGGAGAGAGGAGGAAAGAAAAAAGAGGGAATAAAAGAGTAGAAGGGAGAAAGAAGGAAAGGAGAGGGAGAGTGTAGAAAGGGGACGAAAGGGAATGGGAGGAGAAGAGGGAGAAGGAGAGGGGAGTAGGGAGGGGAGGAAGAGGGAGAGAGTGGCAAGAGTCGAAAAAGAAGGAAGGGAAAGGCAAAAGAGAAAGGAGAGGAAGAAGAAGGGAGAGGCGAAGGAGGTAGGAGAGGGAAGAGACGAATGAGAGGGGAGAGGAAGAAGAGACGAGAGAGGAGAGAAACGAAGGAGAAGGGAAGAAAGTAGAGACGAGAGAGGAGGAAGAGACGAAGGAGAGGAGGAGACGAAGGAGAGGAGAGAGGAGAGAGACGAGGAGAAGGAGAAGAGAAAGTAGAGACGAGAGAGGAGGAAGAGACGAAGGAGAGGAGAGAACGAAGGAAGGGAGAGGAGGAAAGAGAGACGACAGTGAGAGGGAGAGAAAAGAGAGACGAGAGAGGAGAGAGAAAAGGAGAAGAGAAGAGAGAGAGAGAGGAGAGAGAGAAGGAGGAAGGGAGAGAAAAGAGACGAGAGAGGAGAGAAGACAGAAGGAAAGGAGAGAGGAAGAAGAGAGAAGAAAGAGATAGAGAAGAGAAGAGACGAGAGAGACGAAGGAGAGGGAGAGGAAGAAGAGACGAAGAGGAGAACAGACGAAGGAGATGGGGAGAAGAAGAGACGAGAGAGGAGAGAGCGAAGGAGAGGAGAAAGAAAATAGAGACAGAGAGGAGAGAGACAAGGAGAGTAGAGAGAACGAAGGAGAGGAGAGAGGACGAAGAGACCAGAAGAAGAGACGAGAGACGAAGAAGAGACGAAAGGAGAGGGAGAGAGGAAGAAGAGACGAGAGAGGAGAAGAGAGGAAGAAGTGACGAGAGGACGAAGAGAGACGACGGGAGGGGAGAGGAGGGGGCCGCGGAAGGGAGCCAAGGCCCGGCGTCAATTCTGGCGTTGTGGCCGCCGCCGACAATGAGAGGCTGCGAAGCGTGCTTGGCATCCCTTCGCCCTGGAATTCTCAGTCCTGTATAAGATATGGAGTCTCGCCCTCCTCCCTCCCTTCCCTCCTTCCCCTTCTCCTCTCTCTCTCTCTCTCTTCTTCACCCTGCCTCCTCTCTCGCCCTTCTTCCCTCCTACTCTCTCTCCCTTCTCTTATCTCTTCCCTCGCCCTTCTCTTCCTCGCCCTCCCTCCCCTCCTTCCCCTTCTCCCTCTCCTCTCTCTCACCGTTCCTTCCCTCCTCCCTCGCCCTCCCTTCTTCTTCCTCTCTTCCTCGGCTCCCTCCCCTCCTCTCTTCTCGCTTCAGTCCGCTCCTCCCTTTATCTTCCTCCTCCCCCTCACTTTCTTTCCTTCCCCCCCCTCCCTCCCCCTCCCCTTCCCTCGGGGCTCATAAAATCACTCCCTCAAAACCCCGCGTTTAATCCGCCACCTCAAACCGATTTCCCCCGTATCCGGATTTCTGTGTATCGCAAAATCCCCTTCGGAATCTGACCGAATAAGCAAATATTTCGGCTGAAAAGCTTGCGTCTTAAAGCTTTTTTTTTTTTTTCCTTTTCTTCCTTCTCCTCTCTTCTTCTTCTCTTTTAAGGCTTGCGTTTAAAGCTTTTTTTTTTCTTTCCCGTTTTAAGGCTTGCGTCTTAAAGCTTTTTTTTTTTCTTTTCTCCTTCTTCTCCTTCTTCTCCTTCTTCTTTTCCCGTAGGTGAGACCTCCCGGCGGGGATTCCCCCAGGAGGCGGGCGGCGTGGGAGGCCAAAAATGGTATGGCAGGAGGTCCCGCGCGCCGCCCGTATCTCTCTCATCATCGCTAAATTGATTTTCATTGTGGTTAAAAAACGTAGCTTGCATTTCCATCTCTCGCGAGGGCGGGCGTTGCGCCGAGAGTGGATCCGGTGCAAATTGTGGTTGGGATATCGTGCCTCCGTGATGATCTGGGATGAACATGCTCGCACACACACACACACACACACACGCACACGAACACGCACGCACACACACAACCACACACACACACACACACACACACACACGAGTACAAACATACACACATATATGAGTACGAAACACACAGATACACATACATATACACATGCATATATACATACAAACACACACACACACACACACACACGCATGTTCATACATATACACATACATATTTATCAATCTATGTATCTGTCTATCTATCTGCCCGTCTGTCTGTCTCATTTGTCTTTCTATCTATCTATCTGTCTACCTATATATATATACACATTATTGTATATATTCATACACACAAGATCTGCTTATATGTATTTATATGAATATGTAAATTGATGTTTACATATTCAGATCTATGACACACTACTTGCGTGCCATACAAACTCGATCTTAAAGTTAACGTGCCATCTCCCTCCCTCCAGCCTACCCTTCCCTCCCTCCCTTTATTTGACCCCCTCTCCCCTTCCCTCCTCCCTTTTTCCCGTTCCCTCCCTCCCTCCTCCCTCCTCCCTTCCTCCTAGACCCTTTCCTCCTTTATTTCCCCTTCCTTTCCTCTCCTCCCTTCCCTCCCCTCCCTTCCCTTTCCTCCCTTCCTCCTTATCCTCCCCTTTCAACCCTCCCTTCCCTCTCCCCCCTCCCCTGTCCTCCCTCCTCCCTTCCCCCCCTCCCTCTCCTCCCGTTTCCTCCCTCCCTTCCTCTCCCTCCCTCCCTCCCTTCCCTCCCTTTATCCCCGTTCCCACCCTCCCTCGCCCTTCCGAGAATGCCTCGCATGATCCCAATTTCCCTCAAAATGAGAAGCCCGGCGAGGGGAAGCCGCGCCAAGAGAGGGGAAAAAAAGAGGGTCATGGAGTTACCAGGATCTCGATGATACTTAAGAAGGAGGAGCGAAAAAAAATACAGAAACGGCTTAGAATATGTGATAAAGATAGGGCGTAAGGGGAGGAGGAGGAGGGGGAAGATGAGAGGAAAAGGGGGATGGTGAACACGCGATAAAGATAGGGTATAAGGGAAGGAGGGAGGAAGATGAGAGCAAAAGGGGATGATGAACACGCGATAGAGACAGGGCATAAGGAGGAGGGAGGAGGGAGAAGACGAGAGGAAAAGGGGGATGGATGAACACGCGATAAAGACAGGGCATAAGGGGGAGGGAGGGGAAGACGAGAGCCAAAAGGGGGATGCTGAACACGCGATAAAGACAGGGCAT